GGCTGGCCGCAACGCCACCGAGAGAATATATTATAGTTGGTGATTAATTCACGATTATCCGCAAAATGTCGTATCTCCCACGGTTGCCGCGAGTCATTTATGTCTGAAATGGCGTGCTGGCTTTTGTACGAAAAACCTTTGCTTCGCTTTGGATGTGCTATCTGTTAGTGAGAATCAACGATAAATTCGTTGACATTTAAGAAATTGCGAGAAAATCATGAATAATATATTATGATAAATCAGATAAATAATGAATAAAAAAACAATCGCAGCTGTTTTGAATTAATAGAAAATATTTTATTGGCATCTGACACTGAGCTCGAAATTTTTTAGCTCCATTTACGCCGATCGTTTCTCAGACATCTCAGTTTCAAGGCATGTTTGTCCCTTTCTTTGGAATAGCGGCACAAAAAACGAAAGAAAGGGGGGGGGGGTGCCCATTAAACCGCACATTGGCAAGCATTTGCGCCACTGATCTCACTTGCCATACCTTATAATTATAGATCGAACCAGGGCCGGAGATCGGTGTGTTTTGCAATAAGAGCGAAATATCCGTTTCGCTGCGATCACGCGACTTTATGACGGTGAACGAAAGTTTCAGAACACTCGAGCTCGAGACGGCGTGACGGGTCTCAATGGAGAACGCTTTGCGTCTCCGGCTCTCTTACTCTAAATTTGGTCCCATCTCTTTTGTCAGGAAGACTTAATTTTTACATAATCTCATATCTGCGAAATTTAGAAAAGAATTTTTTACAGGTATACAAGTACATTAAAAAGTAAACAACTGTAGATTAAAAAAAAATGCACAATTATTATATATATTTTATAAGTAATAAAATTGAAAAAAAAGAAGTCAACGCTGATAATATGATGTCTCTCTTTTTTCTCTCCAAATATATAATATTTAAAAGTTAATTATAACATATCTCTTGAATATTTTAACATTATAGGAATAATACATTTATAGCGCGCAGACACGAAAGGCACGACAGGCTCGACTAGATCGAAAACAGTAACGTATTCGTGCCAGTCGGGGCTCTTCGCGGTATATATGACGACCACGATGCACTGAATTTTTATTTTGCAATCTATCGAACTGTTATTTTACGGGATGCGCCGTCGTTCCTATCATCGATGCCGACACCGTCCTCGGCGTGTTGCAAGAACGGGACGAGCGAAGGATTGGGAATTAGACAGGAGTCGTGAGTCACGACTTCGGGATCGTCTCCACTTGGCAACGGCATTAAATCGCTGGTAAAAAGACGCAACCGTATGCAATTACTCGCGTTCGCGTGCGGTACATAGCATTTTGCAAATTGTAGACGCAACCGGATTGGCGCACCGTCGCCAACGTCACGGATCTATGACTCATTGCTTGTCGCGAACAAATAGATAGTGTATCATTCGACAGTGTTTAAGTAAATATAACGGTTATACGTTTAAGCTTAAGCAGACAAGAGCGAATCACACGCGCCTAAGTCGCTTATATTATAGAGATCCTCAAGTAGGAGATGGATATTATCCAGCGATATTATCCTGATTGGACCTGTGCTTAAGCTAAAACGAGAGATAGATTATACATAAGATAGATTGAGATACGAAGATATCTCATTCTATCTTTAACAGCTAGATTCAAAAAAATATGGTGTAATCAGAAGTTGCCTAAACTATGTCCAATTTCTTCGAGAACCTCTAGCTTGTATTTAATATGTTTCGCATTCTCATTAAAACCTAGTCGGGAACTGCTGTGCCAGATTTTGCACTGCGTGCCGATCTAACATGCTCTGAACTTGTAACGCAGTCTAAATAAATAATGTAAAGTGTGTGCTTCCAAACAGCTCGCACCGCTGCTCGCGGTCTCGGCTTGTCCGTCGGCCGTTTCAGAGCCGCTTGCATGCACCACGAGCAGCTCGGTCGCGAAGGAAGCGACGTCCGAGCGGCCGTAAAAATCGTTCGGTCCAAGTGTGACTCATCATACTCAAGAGATTTCAACGCGCGTGTTTCCGTGAGCACCGGTATTTCTGGCTGGTAGCGTATATGTGTTATACGGTGTCGTATCAAAGCACAAAAACCGCAACTGGAGCGGTGTTATTCGGTGAACGGGATGTTGTTGGAGATACCATGATTCATGTTGCGTCTAAGTCGCGAGGTGCAGTCTCCTTAGATGCGCAGGAATACGCGGCGTTCTCTCGTGATAAATCAATCAGATTGGATCCGGTTGGAATCGCAATAACTTGGTTTCGCAAAGAGGAACAAAATTGAAGACTTGTTTTAGTCTTTAATATTTTGCTACAGTTTTATTTTATATAAGAGATAAATATTTATTTATTATTTCGATAAACCAGCTAACAATGACATTATATCGATATTATATTATAAAATGTTATAATTTTCTAATCAACAATATAAGAGTAATATAACATATGTTGTACGTAACAGGAGTAGGAATGTATAATTAGAAATAAGAATAGAAATTATAATGTTGATATAATGTTATTAAAACGTTAACATTACGTTATGCTTTAAACTTTAAACATTAATTAATTATTAACATTATTAGAAAATTATAACATTGATGTAATGATTACATCAATATTATAATTTTCTATTATAATATTAGTTAACGTTTCAGTACTATATTTTTAAAATTTTTCTCATTCTTTATTAACACCAAACCTGTAATTTCTGCAACAAAATTTGTATTCTTCCGATGTTAAAGTATTGTTTGTGTAGATATCAATTGAAAGAATTACAAATAAATACTTTAAAATTAAACATGATTTATATAATTTGAAATAATATGAGATATTTTTTTTAAGAATCGATTTTAAATAATTTGCGACATAATCCGATTTGAACTGAGCATTGTTTATATCAGAAAGTTCTGTTAAAATTAATACTTAAATATACTCATACACTCTTAAGTAAGAAAGAAGAACAAAATTGTTGTAGGTATTAAAAATTGAGCATTACATTTAATTTCTGAAAGTTACATTATTAAACTCGACATGTAATTAGTATAACATGACATATGTTTCGGTCTTTGTATTAGACCCTCTTCAGATGTTCAAAATTTCGAAGAGGGTCTAATACAGAGACCGAAACATATGTCATATTATACTAATTACACATCGAGTTTAATAATGTAACTTTCAGAAATTTACGTGCTCTTTAACTAAATTTATTTTTGTTTGACTAATAATCCTTTACACTTTTTATCTCATATCTTCTGCAAAAATTTCTTGTCCTGTTGTCCGTCGAGCGATGTCTATTGTTCGTTGGCTTTCTGCGGACTTCGGGGATCGGTGAACTGTAGACCTGCGGGCATGCTGGCGATCGGTCGATGAGTAACCATGGGAGACCAAGGCCATGCCTTCCAACTCGATAAATCTTACCGATATCAACCTCTTTTGTACGCGAAAATACAATGTTTTCTAGACACGTATGTTTTACATACTTTATATGAACACAATGACGTTTGACAATCGAAAGTAGTTTGGCGATTTGTCGTTCTTGCTCTATTAGGTGACATAACATTCGAACTCTTTGTTTGTCTGATAAATATATATTCAAGCATAATTTTAGAGCCATTAATATGGATCTGTTCTTAACTTCATTTTGATGAAATATTTAATAATATTGATTTGAATTCAAGCAGTAATTAAATCATGATATGCTTGTTGTTTCATCACAAGTAAACTGCATTTAATCATGTTTTATCTTATTTTATCATTATTGATCTTCGTTTCAGACAGAAATTATTTAACCTTGATAACATGATGTGTGCTGATCCAATTCGTGATTACAGTTGAAATGTTGAGAAACAATGTTAGAAGAAAAGTATCAGAAGTTGAAAAATGAATTATCGATAAAGTAAGAAGTACATAAAATATTATTCTCGTAAGATTATATTACATTTCGTAATACGATTGCGCGAACGTCGCTTTTTAATCTTAGTATTGCAGTTAATTAACAGAAATGCCTCACTGCAACAGTAAATGAAGTTGATTAACACTAACGCTTCATTTAGAATCCACCCGTGTTTTTGCGATTGTTACGTCTCATTACTAGCCGCGATGCGCGTTATCCAGCATCAGGTTGAGAAACTCCACATGGGAACAAAGCGATTCACGTGTGTGGCTTGCCGTGTGTACCCGCAATGAAACCAGTTCTCGTATCGCGTCTTTTTGTTATGCACAAATGCATCGTGTTCGCACCTTTGTCGGCGGAGATTTTTCCAGACGATCTTACGTGCCGAAGGACAAATATTTCAATCTTTTCTTTTCTCTCAATTCCGATCCCCTGCATCTTTTCTCTGTTTAGTTTCACTTTATTCCGCGATAATTCGATAATTGCAGAAAGAAATGTTCGCGCCATGTACCTTTTTTCTTTTTAATCTTGGAAAGTGTTGGGTCTTTAAAGAAAAGAAAAGTGAGGTAGTTGGTCAAATTGTGCGTTTAATTGTACGTTAATAAATTTGCCAACTCCTTTCACCGAGTTCTCAAACTTTATCTATCTACATTATCTTGATCTTGTTATGCGTAAGTATGGATGTCGAGAAATGTAATATATGCATGTGCACTGACTCACGCCGTGAATTTCTTTTTTTCTCTCGGTTCTTTGAGTGACGGTTGAATGTAAGACGTCGATTTCGTGAAAGGAATAACCAACAGGTTTTTATGTCAGAATCCTTTTAAATACTAAAAATACCTTTTCGAAGCAAAGATTGTAAAAACTTGCGTTGTTCCGCAGTCGACACAAAATTAATAAGACCGACGCACAGACCTTCGCTTTATGCATAATGTATGAAGCATAAGAAAATCAACTAATCGGATCTTTTATTTCATGAAAAGGAAGGAAATGGAGAGTCTTAATTGGTTAATTTTCTTATGCATTATATGCGTTATGCGTTATGCAACACTCTGTGTTTTCACTCTTATTTGAAAGAAAAGAATTCATCGTAATTGCTAATCAATCCGAAACATCTTTTTTATGCGTAGAGTTTGGAGCAGGAAAGGCATCTACTGCGGAGGAGACTCGAAGAAGCCAGGGATGAAAGCGAGGCGAGGGCTTTGGAGTTCCAAACTGACGTGGAGAGCCTCAGGAGTCAGTTGGAAGAGCAAAATGAGAGAGCGAGGAGAACAGAACGCGATCAAACCACCCTTGTTGCGGAGTTGACGGCACAAAACACGAGGCTAGCCGATCAACTGAGGGAAGCTGCCAAACAGGAGGAGCAGTTGCTCGCGGAAGTGAAGAGGTTGAGAGAAAATTGCGCTCTCAGGAACACCACCCTGCAGGATCACGTCAGTAGCCTAGAGGTCCTCAGAGACGAGGTAAACGTTAATTTTTAATCTTGATTACATTATCTTATCATACATCATCCCAGTACGTAATTAAATCTTTTTTGCATATAAAAACTTGACTTTTTTCTATTCATTAACGAATTTCTTACCGTGGTTTCCCTTTCGCTTAATTGCTCTAATTGCGCGTGGAACGGAAACTATCGTTATTAATCATTATCCATCGGAAGCCGAGTAGTTCTCAGGTGGGGCTTGCTGAATAATTCGCAGCATCCTTTTTATGAAAAGGAAGCGGTAATCGTTGCTCGTGTTCGCACGTGAATTTTACGCGTACAATCTCTGGGAAAATTCTGTCATCGAATAAAAATGAACGTGACCCTCGTTGGTCGACCCGATTTGCTTCGTCTCGTCGTCCTTTCATCTCGCCTTATAATAGCAAGTATAGTAACCGGATGTCGATTCTTATGAATCGTTCGTGACGTGCATACTAGATGTTTATAAAAAAAAACTAGAAGTTTACTGAACTAGACGTGTATAAAAATAAATTAATACAAATATGAGTTGTATCTCCTAAACTGCGACTTGTTATACACTTATATTTTAACGTTACATTTTATATTATCTGCATGTTTCTATATAAAAAAAAATACTTTAACAGAACAGTTTTTTTTTTATTAGACTATCAAAACTTTTTGCAGCATTGCTTATCATGCTTGAGCATATTTTATAATTATTTTAATAAATCAACAAAATTATTTTTAGATCTGTATCTAATTAAATTTTTAGATACTTCAGCAAAACTGAGTGAACAGACATGAGAATTAAGCTGAAACTTAAACCAAATTCAAACAAAGAAATGACGGACGATATGAGAAAGCGTTGTCAATATATATCACTCATGTAATTTGCATTCATACGTCGTTTCAGGTACAACTAGTATCCGCACAAAGGACTGAATTAGAGAGGCGGTCCTTGGAGCTGCGTGAGGAGAGGGCCAGGGCTATCGCGGCTCTCGAGGAAGCCGAGGAGAGAGCTACGGCCGTGGAGCGGCTCGGCCACGAAGCGGAACACCGTGCCAGAGTGGCGGAGCAAGAGAGGTGAGGCTATAATCCGTGATCTGTACATGTGGCTATTATGATTCAATTAACATGCGGAGACACATTCAATTGAGTATGATCCATTCACAATTAGATATTTCGAATTCTACGATGTTTTTAAAATCCATTTCCACGTGCGTGACAGTCGCACCTTCACCGAATAAACGCCGGATTTTAACAGTAAAATACCTTATAATTAATTTTATTCATTGTATTTTCTGCTAATATCTATTTTGTACTTAATTTATATTTGACATGTTAAAATATTTCTGTCAGTCACCGGAAAATTTTTCAGCTAGTTTCTTTTTTTTATATGTATACGACATTCAAATGTATTTATGTAGGATTGCGGATACAGATTTGAAAGAGAAACGGTAAAATGTCTCTTTTCAAGGGAGATTTATGCTTAATTATTTTACGCAAAAGTATTTTAGTGCGCAAGAGTATATTCTTGCGAATCCGAAATAAATGTTTGCGAAAGTGGTCGATTTCTCAATGTTACGATTATTTTCGAATTCTAATATCGAACTTGCGAAAGTTTATTTTGCTTTATCAAACTTTACGTGGCCTAATCGTACGATAACATACTCAGCCGTTACTGTGAAATGCACGATCAACTGTCGGATGTAACATTAACGAATGTCCTTCTCGAAAGCAAATATAAACATTCTGAAGTCTAACCGAACACATAGAATATTAAATCTTCCATCTCCTACATTTATTACCTTTAGGGACGAGCTAGCGTCAGCATTGGCAGCTATCGAGGCAGAGAGGAGAGCTCGGTCCGGTTCGATACAAAAAACACCGAGGTCTTTGCAAGCAGAAATGGAATGCGAAGAGAGCGGCAATTCGCTCGGGGAACAGGAAGACGGAAGCCTGAGAACGGAGGTTGCGAGGGTGACGAAACGGCTGAGGGAGCTGTGTGCTCATCTGAGACGCGGGGAGGACGACTCGGGTTTGCAGAGCGACTGCGACGAGTCCATGCTGGTGATTAATCTCAACAACTCCGAAGCAGAGGTGGGCACCAACGAGCGGGAGACTCACTCTTCACCGGTAAGCAATTCTTTTCACATATTTTGTTAAATTATAAGTACACAGAATGACAAAAAATGTGACCACAAAGCTTTGTGTGTTTATCAAATCATCCAAGTAACAATTTGACATTATTTGTCATTATTTCATCAGAATAACATTAAAGAAATCATTCTAATGTCAAAATAATAAATAAACTTGCTACTTTGATAATATCGTACATATATTAAAAAAAGAAGAAACTGTGGGATATTATACTTATATCTTATTAAATATAAGGAAACTGCATCAAAAAAAATTCATCGAATTAAGGACTCTATTGGCTGGTAGAATTCATGAAAAAAATTGCGGCTATCGTTAATGCATGTCAAAGTGTCTTAAAATTTGTACATATATCAAAGCTATAGATTATTTCAAACGTTCATTATTATTTTATATATTATAGTATTTAATAGAATTAACATTCCAAAGTTTGTATTTTTGTAAATACTAATAATTTAATATACACAAAACGTTGTGGACATACTTTTTTGTTACCCTGTATATTATGATTACGTACAGTATATCTATTGTTCTATTAATGATTTTCTTCGTAGACAAATTGTCCGGGTGCGCTGATAGAACTAGTCGAAGAAGTCTACAATCTCGCGCTGTCAGGTAGAGGAGCACCAGGAGAATTAGGATTGGCGGTGGAACTTCACAGAGTGCGGGAAGAGTTGGAGAACTCTCGGGAGCAGTGCAGGATACAGGAGGAGGAACTGAAGCGACGCGGCGATACTATTCTGGAGTTTACGAGCAAGTTGAGCGTTTGCGAGACTGAACTGCGCGGTGCCAAGGAGGAACGTGACAGGGCGAGGTGCGATATCGAACATTCCGAGCTGACGAAGGATGAAATCGTAGCGAAAGCTTACAAGGTGCGAGACCAGGCAGTGGCCCGACAGAATAGGGTGGAGGTGGAGCTGGCCAGGACGCGGATAGATATCTTGCAGGCGGACAGTCAGCTGAAGGAGGCGATTAAGCAGAAGATTGAGCTCAGTCAGCAGCTGGAACAATGGCAGATGGACATGCAGGCGCTTCTGGACGAGCATGTACGGAGCAAACTAACTCCGACTTCGCAGATCGTCGCCACGAGCGAGAACTCGGACATGGCGCCGGCCAGGAAGAAGAGGAGCACCGGCTCGACGAAAAAGATGTTCGGCTTGTTTTGACGAAAGTGACGCAGCGCGATGGCTTCGCTGCATTAAGCCGAGCGATCGCGACTGACGTAGACTTGGACTCTTGGTTCCTGCGCAGCCATTTCGCAGAAAAGAGACGTTAGCAGAACGAAGAGATGATTGCGGAAAGAAAGTGAATTTAGGTGTACTTATCTTTTTATTATAAAAACCGTTCAATATCTCATGACGAATGGGATAACATTCCAGACATCTTCTACTCTGCTACAGTCATTATAAATAATGCCACTTGCATTGCACGATTGCAATTTATGGACAAGCATCTGGGACTAATCTCAAACTAGCGGTTTTGTGTAATTAAAATTAACACCTCGACTGGATACGTCTAGAGATTCTAAAGTAAAAGATAGGATATCATGCGTTTGATCCGCCGTCTTTCTGGACCTGCTTAAGGTAGAATGAGATATAGGATACATATGCATAAGATATCTACGCATTTCTTTCTATTTTATGCATTTCATCAAAAATTATCTAAACGGTGTCCAATCTCTCGCTTAAGGATCTCTCAAATAATAGATCTCTCTTATTTGAAGATCTGTAGACTTATCTGAATTCGTGCAAATCTCGGGATAAATGTTGAAGTATCTGGGTGCATGATGCGTGCGAGAAACGTTCATATTGAACACGGCGGGGAGTTTATTACATCGATGCTGATGCTCGTGTCGAAACCGTAATTCGAATTTAAGTGTCGTCGCTTGCAGAAACAGGGACGTCCGACTTTCTACAATTCCTCAACCAGGGAAAGTTGCGAATCGTTCTTCCCTAAACGTTCTCGACGTGTGTCCAATATTGTCGCCATCATATTTATCACCTTCGTCTCGATAGCCGCGTTTTCTGTCAGCAACTTTTTTATCAAGTGGTTTGATCGATATAATCTGGATTGCTCATTATCGCTCAATTGACTTCGTAGACTGTTCATGCGAAAAGTATTAACGATATAAAATTGTATTGCGACGCTAATCGAGTCAATAAGATGGACAAGTCCATGTCATCAAAAAAAGTTATCATTAATACGTTCCGTGCTGAACTATCCCCGAGCACAGAGCAGCTGTGCGTATAGAATAACAATTACATCGTATCCGTGGAATACTCGATCTGAATGGAAAGTTTAACGTGTATCATCAATGGTACACGTGGTATGGGACGTGTTAATGTTCTCTCCCAGAGAAATTAAAGTTTCGAGCGATGTCTTTTCTCCTTGATAGATTTTCGATACGTCCATCTAACGTTTCTAGCTCAGGAAAATTTTTCACATTCTTTTAATTTCGCTCTTTCATTACGTTTTATTATCCGATCGATGACTTCAGAAGAACAATTATGTTTTATTGGTTGCAACAACCGATCACAGCCTCTTGCTTCACGCGGACAGGTATTAATCGACCAAAAGGTGACGAAAGAAGCAAAGGTTTAATGTCCCGGCAAGACTGATTAGAATCGACAAAGCGCAGTCGCTTTTTCTCCCGCGCGCGAAAACGCGTCCTGTCATTCTCATCATCATGGAACGAATCGTTTTTTCCATGGTACGAAAGATCTTCGAGTGGAAATTTCTTATTTCGAAACGGTTCCCCGCGTTTAGCTCGACGAATAATGAAATGGAATCACTCGAGTATCATAATCGTTCCATTTTTTTTTCACTACGCGAGGTTATCAAATTCCTCTTGATACGAAACATTGTGATATACTGTGTCTTATGTTAGATTCGAAGAAGATTGTTATACGCCTTTTAATGTTGCGGAGTTTCTGTAATAAATCAAAGATTATATTAGAACGAAAAATTTTAAAAGAAATTAAAAAAAAATTTTGTTAACAGTTAAATCGCGAAAATGAATAGTAATTTATAAGAAAACTATGTATTTATTAATATGTATTTAAAAGTAGTCACGGGCTTGGATGACTTTCATTACACGGGAAAAATATTTTGCTGAAGCATCTAAAAATTCAATTGAATATAGATCTGAAGATAATTTAAACCAGCGGCACACAATGTTTGTTTTCCTGTTGCATTGCTAGCTGGATCAGATTCTTCCCATCGGATTGGCTACGATATTGGTACCGATAGCACCGCAGCCAATACAGTGGCAAGATTCTAATCCAGCTGGCTTTATTAAACTGTTAAAATAATTGTGTAGAACATTCAAGCTGGTTGCTAAACTATCAAAAAATTTTTGCAGCATTCCTTATCATGCTCGAGTTTCCTACATAATTACCATATTTTGACGGATCAACAAAATTACTTTTAGATCTGGCTAAATTTTTATAGACATTTCAGCAAAATAATTCTTTTCATGTATTAAATTTCTCATCCAGAAATTATTACTGTCCGTCCATCGTTCCGTCCGACAGGACCAATGAATTGTTCGTGATACAACGAGAAAAGGAAGGTGAATGAATGAGCGCTTGGAGATGAAAGTCGATTGATCCAGTCGTGATCATTGATACCTTAACGTGACGATAGTGCAATATCACTGGAATATTTTTACGACATTAATTGAATCGATGATTGCAACGACTGCTCCTTAATCCAGCGGCATATTCGTAGACGATCGGTCTTAAGGAGCAACGACTGCGATGCGTTTGACGGCATGCGTGATTTTTTACATGTAGACATTGCATGAACACGCATACATCGCACATAGCGAATCGTTTGTACATTAATTTCCTTCCTTTTTTTCTTCGTACCGCCGAAATTGTATAATAACTGTATAATTCTCGATCTGATTAACTACGACGACGATATTTATTTAATAAAAGTCTGTTTTACGAACGCCTTACGTTTCTGTCAACCTTTTTATCCACGGTTGCCTAATATTACCTAACTCCCGTTTTTATGTAGATTAACTTCTATCTCGGTTTATTTTATTCTTAATTCTTCAATTAATTTTAATTAGTTTACTTTTTAATCTATTAATATAATAAATATTCGTTAATTTATACTCTTCATCTTTTTATATTTCTTAGAAATAGAAAAAATAAAAATTAAGTAAAATCAAGTTTATTTTAGTATAAAAACAGACATAACTCAATTTATTTGTTTGGTGACTCGGCTTATCTTCTTTCTTGTCGTTCTCTACTAAACTGGAAATAATGAGACACGTGAAAAGAAACAAATAGGCATTTATTCACAAGAGGCAGGTGTAGTTACAGTAGTTCCATTTCTGTCTTGCTTTTCGTATATATGTGTACATATACATGTACAAATGTACATATACACATATATATTTATATATTTATAATAGTATCTTGTAAACCGACCCGTAATCACCGATCGGCTCAACTACGCAATACAAATGGGCATGAACAATGGGGGCGGGTGCATACAAAGTGTTTGTCCTCTCGCATACGAAACGCGCCGTTTCTACTCCGTTTCGCCTTCTTCTCTTTTTTTCGTGTCCTTTTTTTTTCAAAATTTTAGTTTAAGCACAGCGAGATTCCACTTTATAAAATTCTGTGTGTACGTATGCGTGGGTGTGTGTCGTCAGATAGAATCTCGCTGCTTATTTCACTTGCACGCTGACGATTCGCCGTGTCCCGATCTTGACGAATCGCTCTAAATCGCGGACATACTCGGAACTCAGATGTTCTCGTCCCGCTTCTCCCTAATTATGTGCTTCTCGCGGCACCTTAGGTGAGTATCGTCAGGGGAGAGTGGTTCCGGTCGATTCGAAAAGGTAAGTCAACATGCAAAACCGCGTAATAGCGCATGGAAATGCAATACGCTGCTACATAGAAACCGATCGTCGATAATACATAATAAAGGAAAGGACCTTTATCTCCAATTAATCGGCGATCCCTCTCTCCTGTACGATTCTCTCCCCTTCCGCAAAGGTGTCGGTATGTGGTAACAATATATAATATATAGTATGACAATATACGACGACGGCGATTCTTTAAATTTGTCCCCTATAGTAACGCGACGATGACGTGTGATCATGACAACAATGTAATAACAATGAGGCTTTTAGCGGCGATAGCGTGAATAATCATAGAGTAAATTCGTAATCAATTAGTAATAATGAGACGAGTCGTCGCGCGACGCGAGTCTCGTCGAATGTAAAGCGCTTCTCTCGTTTCGAAACGAATTAATCAATAGAGCAATTAGTATAAAGGTATAGAGAGAGGTACGTACTCTTCTCAAGGTAGAGAAAGAGAGACAGAGACAGAGAGAGAAAGAGAAAGAGACACTATAATTATCGATGAAGCAATTGTGTTTCTTTTGTGCAGAACAACTCTTCTATCAGTAGATTCGCATTTCTTCTTCGTTAAGGGTATTACATGTCACGGTAAATACAATAAGGTTCACTATACTATGTCAATTATAAGTGGCTCTTGTTGTGTTTCACCACTTGAAACCCACCCCCTTTTCCCCTCCGCCCCTCCACCCTCCCAAGCTCTCCAGTCCACCCCATCATTCGAGATTATTTTCCCCGTGACGACGTGTCAACACCTATATAAAGAGACAGTTAAGCTATGCGCAATTTGTGTGAGAGTGTGTGAAGTTCTTCTCTCTTCCATACGTACGCGTCTATACACATGTGTGGCTGTATCTATTTGGGATCATGTATGTGTACGCGTGCTCGCGTCTGTGTACTGTGTGGTGTGTGTATGTGAGTGCGAGTGTATTGTGCATCGGCACGTGTATGGTGCGATGACGTGAATGTATCTGTCCGTTGAATTCCATAGCTTCGGCCTTACTTTCTATATTTGTATATCATATTTACAGCCACACCATTTGTTAATTCTTCTCGCGTGCTTCTCGAGGCTGTTCTCCCTCTGAAGAAAAAAGAAAAGAAAAAAAGCTAGGGTGAATCGAAGGAAACGCGGGCGGACGTTTGCTAAGAATCTCGCTCCTGCGAATCTTCGAAATCAAATTGTTACATCGGTAATTTGTAATTCCCAGGAGCGACTCGACTTCGCGAAATGAGCTTCACCGCCACGAACTCTTTTAATTCCACGTTTCGCGAACTCGCGACACCACTGGCGATTTCTCTCTTGAGTTCACTGTACAAAGTGAAAAAAACAAAAGACAAAAAGATCTCGCGACGATGATGATGGATAGAGAGAGAGATATCGCGATAAACTATTTACATAATAATAATAATAATCATAATCGCCTTCCCCGATCAGCATATACTCATACATACTCACTCTTTCACGCACACTCTCCCGCAACGCTCTATTATATCTCGCCTTCCTTCTTTCGCTTTTCTCGGTGTGTATGTTTTTTTTTCTCTTACTTATAACGCTACATAGAAATATCTTCATTCTGGGTCCCGCACAACTTTGTATCTCTCGCAACGACGATGGCTCGTACGACGTGACCGTCCTCGCAGGACGACGAGGACTGCGTTCTTTGAATGAGAAAGGCTGTCTCTC